AACCACGGTGTTTGTTAGTAGTTCTAAGTGCTTAGGTATGTCTTGGGTAAAATATATTACAGGGCAGGAGACGCTAAGATTTAGTAGCATTTTACATATCCTGTAATGATAAATAAATGAACTATCAAATGCTTCTTGGCTCAAAGTTAGGCTGGGTTAGGGTTAAAGCAGACAGACTTGTCTGTCTGGTTTTGGAAAGACTCCAATATCCAAGTTCTCCAAAGCATGATTGGCCTGCCATGCCGTGCTAAAGTTGCTAAGTTATGATTGGACAACTGTTGTTTGGGGGAGGGGTTAAGCCTACACTCAATTGCAAAATTAGTTTCGCAATACTTTTCTGGTTTCTATATTTCCCAACAAGTTGGAACATTTGCTTCTTGTGAGGAGAAAGATCGTTAAAGTGTCATGTGAGGGCAAATTCGGCACATAGTAGGAACTGCATAACTGAACCCAGTCGTCTCATGAGGTCGAAGGAGTCGTAACATTCAAAATGAAATAATGTAAAAACGCTGAACAGATTTACTTCATAACAGGGTGTAAATAGCACATGCAGTATCATCCTGCATGGTCCTGTATTCACCTCAGCAACGTCTGCAGTCACTCTCCACACCTTTCTCTTCTCTCTTTCCTTGCTGCAAACTCTCTGATTGGCCGTTCAACATCCAATTCATGCAGTATCTCACTTTCAAGGTCAGAATATCGCACGTCTCTCCACGGTGCTCAAATCTCATTTTCTCTCGACTCTAACTGTCCTGTTGTTTTTGACACCAACTTGCAAAACATGGAGAACGAAACACCAATTTGATCATCTGGAGATATATGATTAACCACCAACAATTGTGAGTATTGATAAGGATGCAGCTCCATTAAAAGTCTCTATTCTGGAATTGAAGAAGAACTGTTTTTAGAAGAAAACTGCAGAGGATTTTCTTTATCAAAGCCAAAAAGGAGCCGTAGATGACTGTACAGGTGGGCTGTTGCTGGAGGAAGGTCATGTTTTGTCTCAACACGTGGATGCACTCACATACCCGGGCCCTTTTTCTCCCATTCTCCCTCTCTCTCTCTCTCACACACACACACACACCCCTTACGCAAAAGAGAAAACTTGGCAGTCAGACACCATATCTACTCAACAAATTGCTGTCCGGGCTGCTGTTGGCCTGTGTGCATCATGTCTCAGCATTCGAACGACAGCTTTGAATTGCTTATTATGCAGTTTCTCCGGAGTGATCTGCTTGCACATGCAAGCAGCAATCTCTGTGCAGCAGCAGCTGACGAGGGAAACTATGGAAATAATTGTCTGTCGCTCCTTGTTGGCTGCTTTGACGTCTGGCGAATCCCTTTGTGGTGCACTAACCGAGTTGTTTGAAGTCTCCTTTAGTGTGGTAGGAAGTCGCATGGCGAGAGAGCGCGCGCCACATGCAAGTTCACATCTGTGGTTCATTCCACGATGCACAGTGTCAGAACGGATGGTGTGCAGATGAGAGTTTGGAGGGAAGAACATGGCTGAGCATAATAGCTGCAGGTTTGACCCCGGCAGATGGACAAGACAGCTTCTGAATGGAGATTCTTTTTTTTTTTCCAAATATCATCTTGTGTACATTCCAAGACAGGCCAAACACCCATACAATGGCAAGCTGTTGTGTCCACCCAAGCATTTGTTACCATTTAGAGTGTGAAACCTGCTGCTTGATGTTGGACATGGTGAGCATTGTGATGAATTGCTCTATTTTCATCAATTGCGTATGTGCAAAAGGCTCCGTTTGTGTGGATGTAATGATGTTTTCCACACTTGTATTTGGCTGTATTTTCTTTTTGAGTAAACATATCTGAAGCATTAATCAAAAAGTAAAGGAAATAACTCTAGGGTCTGAAAATCGACCCTAACAATGGATGTGAGTGTCTAGAGTTTATTCAAGCATTGTTTCTGAAATGTTTACTCCTGTTTCGCTTCAAATCAAAGAAGTAGAGAGCTGGGAATCTTTTAATAGCTGTAATCAACTTTTCATAAATGTTACACTTGTCAGAGGGGAACTACTGCTCATGTCACATTAGTAGAGGAACAAGGGAGTATGAATGTTTTGTCCCTGTTCCCCTTTCTCTTGCAGAAATAAATACATTTGACAGCCAGTAACTTTATCATGTTGCTTGCAGAGGGGACGCATGGTGAAAGAGTGCGTGGTGAACTTGCTGTCCGGGGTTATCCTCTGTGATGTGCAATTCTTTTACACAAGCTCACGTGGAGAAATTGAGCAAGAAGGAGAAAATCCTGGGCAGAACCCGCCGCCGTGTTAACAGCTTTGGCCGCGTGTCACTCAATGAGGGGCGACAGTCATCAGAGAGAATGTTCCATGTTGTCCACTCAAGTGTCACTAAGTGATGGACGCCTCCAGAGTGAGCCGGGCTGCAGCTCTGCAGCTGCCTGCCGAGCAAATGTGAAAAGCAGCGAGGATTTTAGCACTCCTTTTCACAGGCATAGTGGAGATGCCATGTTAGTTCACAGAGGGGTAAATATAGCGAGGAGAGTGTTAAAGATCTCAGTCTTGGTCCGGGCTCATGTCAGATGTGACGTCCTGTTCGTGCTCCGGATGGCAGGAAAACTAAGCATGTATCATGTGGATGCACCACCAAGGACAGGACAAGAGAAACATCTGGCCTTATGCTATACTGAGTTATAGGATTCTCCATGCATGCAGTTCAGTTTGTTCATAGAGACATATGTGATTTGTCTTTCCTACAGCGGAGTGCTGTGGTGGTGGCAGCGACCCGCCCTTCCAACATTCTGTAGCCTACCTCTGAAGTGGAAGCGTGAATAGTTACCGCAATCAGTGCAAATGTCACCTTGTATCATCTCCAACTTGCTAAACGCTTATTACATCTCGTCTGAGACCATATGGCGAGTGCCAAGAGTTAAGAAAAAAATACTTATTTCAGCTTTTCGCTCTGAAAAATACATTGAAATAAAGCCTGGATTTTTGAACAGATGTGCCCATCAGAATGTGATTCATTGAGCGAGGAATGCACGATTGGCATTCTCTGCTATCTAGACGGCTGGTGGTGCTCATACTGATCTGCGTGCATGCTGGATAATATGTTGTCTTTAGCGGGGATGAATGCAAGCCTGGATAAGTGAGTCTGCTGAAAAAAATGATGTTGATAATCATAGCCCTGGGTGCCAGCTAATGCGCCTGGGGAGACGGGGGGGGATGTGAGGTTGCAATCATCTGTCCAAGCAGGCCCCTCCAAGGCAGATGATAATGCGCGGTCTAAACAGCTGCACGGGTGGGTAATGGGATTGTGTGCATGCCGGTCTCCTGCTGGATAAGCTTCCCTGATAGCACCATTGACCCCTTCCCTGATAGGGAGTCACAGTGCAGCTCTATTTGGTGCATGTGTGTGTGTGTGTGTTTAGGTTGCAGGTGCCATATATGAGAGAAAAGGGCAACCGTAGACGTGTGCTGGCGGGGAGGTGAGGAGGTACAAGGTGTGCACATATACCCAGCCAGAAAGGTATAAGGGAAGAACAAATCAATAATAAGGGAGGACAGTTCGGGGAATGAAGGCCCGGGGGGGGTCATATTTATTGTGATTATACTTGTGAGATTCCTGTTCAGGTCTCACTGAGTCACCAGTAATCAAAGTTCAAGGAGGATTCTTGTTCGGGCGACTGCAGGAAGCAGATTCAATTATAAGGATTAGAATTTTGAAGATGGAAAAAAAAAAATCGCCATTTATAAAGTTGAGTCATATTAAGCTGCGTGCCCTCCGGAATAAGTGTTTAATTTCTCCGTTGGTTAGTTTTAACTTGAGACCGTCGTTCCTCTTTGTGAAAGCAGTTTGTGTCAGATGGCCAATTTTGCAATGGTTCTACAGACATATTGAGCAATCTTGCAGTTTTTTCCCCCTGATTTGGACACAGACGATTTGTCCTCTTTGGAGCTGTTTGCTGCCTCGTGCTCCTTTGAAAAACCTGCATATCAAACTGCTGATTGCCAGACCTCTTTAATAGCTGACATATGCAGTTAACAAGCATTCCAACTTGATACGACGCACCTTTGCAAATGTGATTAATTCAAAGTTAGTAATTTTTCTTGAACTTAAAAAGTCACAAAGTGAAGCGACGACACTGCCGACGCGGCGGTGCACAGTGTATATGCATGTGAAGCTTTATTCATATCGGTATCATCAAATTCAGCACAAAGCTTTGATGATACCTGGCTGACTCGGTTCAGTAGAGATAATAGAGACGTTCCTGAGCTGCTTTGAAGGTCGAAGTGTTAAAGCGGCGTGGCCTGTCCTGAATGCCCTTGGCCTTCAGTGACGAGCTTGGTTGCACACACCGCTGTTTCTCAATGAATTGTGTCAAAACGCACAGGACGAGAAGATCAAAATGAAACCAGATTAACTACAAACTCAAAAAACCCGGCTCCCACGATGCATCCTTTTGGTCCTTGTCAAGCATACTGTATTTTCAAACGAAGAAGAACTTCAGCCAAAGATTTGTGTGTTGGGCTGAAGTGTGCGACAGCTTTAAAAAAAAAAAAAAAAAAGAAGCTTCAGAAACAGAGCGCTATCTAAATGAGGCATAATAGATGTGAGAGTGACATAACCATGTTGAAGGGATGTAAGCAGCCTGACAGGAACATCGCTTCTAGCAACTCCTGTGTTGCATTAGTGATGGTTTTCCAGGAGGAGCCCACAAAGAGTCTTCAGAGCGCTCTGCTGAGCTCCAGCCAAACCCGGAAAAGCCCCCAAACAACAGGCCATGTGCACACAGGCGAGCTCTCCCTGACATAGCTTCACACGTTGTTATTCATAACCCACCCTCAACACTGGCTAAATCTATATCCCCCCCACTTCTAAAAAACATAAAATATATATATAGGTCATTCCGGTTCTAAAAATGGCCGTCTCTCCCTGGGGCTTGCCAGAGCATGAAATAGACTTTACATCACGTTCGCCAAACAGCAACCAAGAAACTTTCCTTTTTTTTTTTTTTCCATCGTTTATTTTTCATCCCCTTTTGTTGCTGTAATTGAACATATGGCAGTTCTCTATCTCCCCTCCCCCCTTTCACTTTATGACCTGAATAAGATATCAGCAGTTTTCCAGGTTTTGGAATATGACACGCGAGGCTAAAGTCCTGTAGAGATTTAGATAATATGGTTGCGAAACATTTTTACGATGCTTTCCACCTCTGCCTTTTCAGGACTTCCTCCACGCCGATAAGCAGGAATTCAGGGGTGGATTTCCAAACGCTTCGGATTTGCGAAGTGGCCCGATGTGCAAAGGTAGTCACGTGAGAGACAGCACAATTATATCCCTACCTGTTTATAATGCCAACTGTCCCCTCAACCAGTTGCAGACACATTACAATATCCCCTCTTCCTTCGGGTAGTGGCTGCAAAGCCGCACACAATACCCAGAAATAAGCTGCTCTCGCCACCATTGTAGCTTTGACAACTTTAGACTGCAATGTACGGAGGCATGCTCACTTGCAGCACATTGGAAAATGCAGGAAGGACATTTCTGGGGTTCTATTTGCTGTAGTTTGGAGTTTACACACTTCCCGATGCTCTTCCTCCACAAGCATATGGTCTCATTTTTTTTTTATTTCCCACCTCCTACATCTCCATTTCCAATGCAGAAACTCCCTGGTGGTTGTCCCTTGAAATGGCCTCATGTTTATTTAAACTCGGAGGGCCGCAGCGGAGCGCCTGGTGCCCCATTCCTTTTTTCTGTGGTGTTTTCTTAAAGCCGGCCAACCCCAGGGCCATTCATCAGCTGGACTAAGTGTAGCTACAGCACAGAGGGCTAAACAGCACTTCACCACAATGAGTGTGACATCAACTATCCACACAAACCAGCGGGTGTGTCAAAGAGAAGCACAATTACAGAGGAGAAAGAGAAGGGAAGAGGTGGATAAATGACCATGGAGAGAAACAGAGGACAAAAAAAAGAGCGAGAGAGAAAGAGAGGCAGAGAGTGTCAATCATGTAGCTTCTAATTTTGGTTCTGGCTCGAGTACTACTTTGTTCCACTGTGGGCTTTTCTGCTACGAGCATGAGCTGGCTCAAGACACACAGAGAGGGACAGAAGAGCTATTGAATTAGCAAAGACCACACTCCACACACACCAAAAAATACCACACACACACACACCAAATAATGAGAAGGAAAAGAGTTTAGAGCAGAGTCAAAAAATAAAAGTGGTTACGAGTATTTTTGTATTGCTTACAAATACTGCTTGTCGTGTTTTTATTTCTCTTTTTAAACAATTACAGCTCCTCTGAACATTATGCTTCTAAAATTCAATGCAGCCACAGTAGAGCGATGGAAAAATGATCTCCCCAAATATGGATAAAAGAGAAGGACTCATGCTAGTTGAGTGGAGAGCACAACAAAGGGAACTCGGGCTAGGATCCAAATTAGAGGAAAGATGAAGATACGAAAAGATCAAAACCGAGGAGGAATGAGAAAAGAGGAATAGGAATTGGCAAACACCGACATCCAGCTGTGCCGCACTGAATCAAATGTTAAAGGCAACATGAACCAGAGCCAAACGGCCCCGAAGTTAAATTGGAAATAATAAAAAGATTGAGACAGAATCAAGAAGAGTCCACACAGAGCATATGTGTATATATCTATATAGATCATTTATTTGAATATTTAAACCCACTAAAAGTTGTAAATACAACTTTTGAATGAAAAGGCACAGGAAAAAAAACAGATCAATCAGACAATGCCGATATACTCAAAAGAAAATGACAGTACAAAAGTGGACAGTTAGTTACGCACGTACAAATCCCTCCAGGTTCAACGTCCTCCGTACGGGGGAAACAGAAATATATATATATCAGACACAACAAAAGGAAGCCGGAAATCCATAAGCCAAACTTCTCTTTATTGCTTTTCCTAACCGACGGGGATCTCGTCAGCTCCCCGGGTCTTTGCAGAAGCAACTGCTGTGCCTTCTACTTTCCCTGTACACGGAGCAGCTCATATTTACTTAACTTTCTGGGCTGTCTGTTGACCGTGCTACACAAACACTCCACTGGGCATTTAGGGTCTGCTTCACGACATCAAGACAAGATGAAAGTACTAAACACGTGCAGCCAAAGAGGGGTTTTTTGTTTTTGGATGTTATTTGAGTTAAGATCTCTCATAATCCATAACCAAACGAGGCTGCATTTGTGATTATGCTTTTAATTCGTTGGTCCGCCGAGTGTTTAAATATTCAACAGAAATATCTGGGCTGCTAAATTCAAAAGTACAGGTCAAAAGCTGTTTTTCTGGAGCGAGGAAGTAATTTAGGATATCTTCATTCCCTTCCTTAACATTTACTTAATGGAGCTTACTGCGCTCAGCACTAGCGGGAGAAGTTTGAGGAAAGGATTCATTTATCAATTACAGACATTTAAAGAGAATTTGGCACTGGAGGCCACTACTACGCTGCTTTATTGTGTTTTCTAGTCCTCTAAAGAATCACTTCTTTTCCTCCTTTCATTTCTTTATGTTGTCGAAGAAAAGAATCCCTCGGTCAATCTGACCATCATCCATCAATGGTATGGAAAGGTTAAAGCACAGGGGGGTCATGTGACATTACGTATGCCCAATCGTAGACTCCTATACATCTGGATTAAGCTCTTATTGAAAAAGATAAATCAGAATGCAGGCCTGTCGGCTCGGATAGGATTGTGTACACATTACGGTTCCTTTGGACAGCTCTACTGGGGAACAACTGGAGGGAAAGGTGCCGTCACTCTGTACTGCTCATGGTACTTAATATTACATATAGCCTCTTTGGTATAGGCACATCTGCATCAAGGGACCACCACTGTCCAATTATTCCTTTTCCTATGTGCAGCTGTTTCACTCCAATTGAAAAGAGGAAAAAAAACACACACACACACACACACACACACACACACACACACACACACACACACACACACACACACAAGAGATGATTGCCACAATCCTGGAAATCAAGTGATTGACTGGAGTAGCAGGAAATTAGACTTCTATAGCCGTCAAGGGTTATCTTTTCCTCCTGCATGTAAACCAACCCCCCCCCCCGCCTCTCCTCTCTACCTGCTGTAGCTCGGCCTTCCCTGCCAACTGACAGTAGGAGATTCATGCAACCTCCGCCTTCCCTGCAGCCATGCTACAGAGAAAGGAAACGCCGTGGCACAGCAAAAAATGTAAACGCACCAATGTACTTGAATTCAGCCCTGAATGAAATAAAACAAGAAATCCTGGGGGCAAAATGAAACGGGTGTTAAGATTTAATGTTATCAAACAAAAACAGTTGTGATGGATTGAGGAGGATGGATGGGGTCAGGGCCGTGCGATGTTGCTGCTCTTGTTGCTTGGATGCTCTGGTTTGCAGTAGCCCGAGTCCAGTGCAGGAGGCGTTTACCTGAGCCCTTTCTCCCCCACCCCACCCCCAAAGGATGGCAGCCCACCCTGGGAGAGGAGAGGTTACCTCTATCCCCTCTCTATCCCGGCTCTAACCAGAATCTCTCAGCGCCACGCTCCTCTTTCTCACAGGAGCAAAGACAGGTTAAAAGCTGGAGCTTTAACAAATCTGCCTTGAGGTTTGGATTCTTACACTTCCTGATGCAAGACCTCGAACACCTTCCTGCTCCGGGGCGGGCAAAGAGGAGCGAATGACATCATGTACAAGAACCGGGGTCTCGAGAGTTCCGGAAGATAAAGAGTACAGGATCCAGTCTCTCAGTGCGTCCGGGCTAACGCCGACTCCATTCATTACCTGGCCGTGGCAGAGGAGGACGCGGCGGCTAGCTGTGTGAGGTATTCACGCAGTTCCTTGGCCGCCTGGAAACGACCGTAGCGCTTTTGGGGTCTGGTGCACTCGTCCAACAGGGTCACGAGTTGTCCGTCTTTGGCTATATGGGCAGGGGGGTCGTGGAGGAGGCCTCCGGTGGTGCCCCGCCATGTAGCGTACCGCGACAGCAGGTTCTGGCACACGGCGTAGTAGTTGTGGTCCACCGTCACCCTGGAGCACAGGGAGTCCTTGGAGAAAGACAGGCAGGCCTCCCGGTCGCACTCCTCGAACCGGCTCTCATACCACACATCGTAGCTTTCCGGCTTGTCTGTAAGGGAGAGAGAGGAGAGGCCGTTAAATGAACACGCCGCAATAAAAACACACTGGTCATAAAGTAGTCAATAATATTAACATAGTCGGAGGTGCACAACATTCATTTCAAATGTATAAAGGCATTTATTGGGTCATAAGCTTTCTTTCTTACAGCCTTCATCAGGTGAATATGTAATGAGGTCGGGATGTATGGGGTCCTGCAAACTTTGTCTGAAAATCAAATCTCCAAAATGATGTTTTATCAGAGAGCAATATGCATTTATATATTTTTTTGCATATAGCGTAGGAGTTCCAACCAGCCTGCAGTTTACATTTCATATGGCTTCTCAGATTTTTTTTTTCTTTAACAGTTATTAGAATGTGGGACAGGTCTACATGGGACATTTGAAGGACAACTGATGAACAGTTTGACTCAGTTTGGTCACAAAGAAAACTGTTTGCAAATTATTCGCCGGGAAATCAACCTGACCAGAATCCGACAGCGCCGAGGTGCCACATTTGACAACCCACGGGCACAAACATGAAATTCTTTCTCAAAAGCACACGGCAAAACAACTCTACAATCTAAACTTTCATTTGACAGAAATGAAACACTTTCCAGATTTATCGAGCAAATAAAACTCTCCAGCTCATTTCACATTGCTTTTTCTCTTCAGAGGATTGCGCTGGGAACAGAGGGAGCCGAGGAAATAGCCTGGAATGACGAGAGAGCTATTCGTTTGTGCATTAAAAAGCAGATCAATAACATTTTTGGGGGGGCAGTGGACCCGGAGGATGCAAACACATAATCAGTGTATCAGCGATGTAATGCACTTCTCCTCTGGCTCATCAGAACAACTCAATCAAACATCCAGCGCTGCCCTGTTAGCAAGGGGCCCCTGTGGCCCCCCCCGAAGAGGAGGGGCACATCAACCTCAATCAGTGAGGGTGATGGAGATGGATCTGACTGTTTGTGGACACCACACACACACACACGTGCATATAAAGATGTGCGCGCACAAGCGGCAAGGTGAGCTGAAAGCAATTAATGTTTCAGAGCTGGCCATGCATCACACCTCAGCACTGATTGACAGATGGCATCGGGAGTGTCCCATTCTTGTTCGCTTGCACTGACTGACTGACGGACGGACGGACGGACGGACGGACGGACGGACGGACGGACAGACACACGCACAGAAAGAACGGCTAGAAAAGAACAAGCAGGGAGGAGAAGGTTCGTACTCAAGGACAACGATGAAAAAAGAACTTTGAGACTCGGCTGAAGGCTAAAAGAAGTCTACGGTTGTTTTATTTGCACCCCAATCCCTTCTGTTCTACTCTCACTGCGGGCCTGAGCCTAACAAAGCCACAGCATTTCCAAAGCAAACGACATTATTTCCAATTCAAATAGGTGGGAGAGCCGTGGGTGAGGCGAGCCTCTCTCGTCTCCTGCACCTTCCCTGTTAAGGAGCTCCGGTCGGACTTACATTCACCTCACTCCTCCGCCTTCCCAGGACTACAGAGAAGGGACATAGGGCCTGAAATGCTTGTTAGCGTGGCCTTACTAGTGGCATTCAAGAGTACGAGCCGGGTTTAACAATGCATGCCTGTGTTAGAGTGCATTATTGAATGTGAGGGAAAGAGAATGTGTGTGTGTTTCAGATGCGGTTGCATTTGTGTATGCCAGGGAGCGATCCTGTCAGGGAGAGAATAGGCTGAGAGTGAGTGAAGTGTGCGTTACATTAAACAGCATGCGTTTCCAAAAAAAACACTATGAACTCAATGATGGGGAATGGCTCCTTCCATTGTGCAAACACACGGCGCCGCGCGCGACACCGGACACAGCATGCGTTTTATCTCGCCCGAAATCCGCCGCATCAATATGGATGACCCCAACGAGAGGGGGCGGGACTGCGCAGCAACTTTCTTGCGCGTTTGACTTGCAAATCAATTGGCCTCAGTTTAGACTGATGAGATCCGCAACACACTCTTTAGCTCGCTTTCAATCTCGGGATCTAATTGTGGGGATCGGCTTCTCGGGGTGTGTGGGGAGCCTTGGGAGGTTACCGCGCCTATTTCCGGCTTCTTTCTGACACACGGCCATGACCTCGTAATGCTAATTACCGACCGCCATCCCTCTTCATGCCGCGGCAGGCACGCACACGCACACGCACACGCACACTCTTGGGGCTTACACTCTTGAATGGCCAGGGTAAGCAGCTTGAGTTGTCAAGCTCTAAATGTGTCTGCTAGACAAAAGAGAGTCTCAACCTGGATCGTGCTTTGGGACTTGCAAAGGGCTACTGGGACAGGGTGGAAAATTGCAGCTACTGGCAATAAGGTGAAAATGCACACTTTTGAGTATGGCGCATACGCGCACCAAAATAATTGCTCAGGAAATCCACAACAAGGATTCGAGTGGGAAAAAACCCCACAGGGCACGTTGTGGTACTTGGATATGTTACACATCTATATGCGGTTTTCTGGTGTCAGATCTTGCAATTTGGCAAAGCAGCATTTAATCTCAGGATAAATTCATCACACAACATCCCCGCCAACTAGAAACCTACACAAACACACACAATAGTTCATATCTGTCACAGGGCACAATGGTGGAACCTCAACACCTTGCGACACAACAGTTTATCACTTTAATAGGATTTCTGCGGGAAGGGATAAATCTAAGAGCCTGAATGGGTGGTCGTCCCGCTCTTTGAAGTAGCCCCAGGATGGAGGACTGAGGGCTAGAAAAGTGTGTGATGTATAGCTCTCTCTGTCCTTGTTATGAGGTTTATTCTGAGAGGCAAAGAAAAAAAAAAAAACTAGGGCAGCGGAGATGGCTTGTTATCTGAACTATCTTTGCTTTGATGGGGACGAGGGTGTCGGAGGAACAAGCGGTGCTGAAGAAGTGTATTCTAAGAAGAGAGGAAGCTTCGAGCGTTTGCTAAGTTGCCCTCAGCCAACTGTCCCTCGGGACCTTTATTCTCTCGAACCTTCATCACCGACTCATGAGCTACACCTGGTAGTTTTCAGTGTTTTCTACAGACTCCGAGCTGTGATCCGTGTTTGAGTCACACTTTGGCTTTTGAGGAGCTCTGTGATAAACGGTTGAAGGAGGAACAACTGCTGTAAGAGTAGACATGTCATGAATACACTTGATGGTTAATTATCACTTCCAGTTTCAGAGAAGCACTGATCACTACAAGTAAACAAACACCAAATTACAGCGCCATAATTTGAGGGTGGCATAGTCGTCAGTGTTAATGTAAATACTGTGAAATTGGGTGCATTTATCCAATTATGTAGCTCCAGGAGTAGCAATAGTTAAAAGGTGTAACACACATGGAATTGTCATAGCAGCTCATAGCAACTCTCCGACGTAGGCAAATACATCCTCACATGTGTTTCCGGTAACACTTACTCTGCTTGATCAGCCTTTTGTCTGCCACGAGGACGTTCTCGGCGTCAACAACGATGACCTTCCCGTCGCGCGGGCCGACCGCGAAGTTATCGAAGCTGACGTCGAGCAGGTAGAGGGCGAACTCAAAGTCGTTGTTGGTGAGCTGCTCGGCGATGTCCATGAGCTGGCGTGCCAAGTCTACCCTCTTCTCCCAGGGCGCGTTGTAGAAGCTCCACAGCTCCTCGCCCACATAGTTGACAGCTACCATGCGCCCACACGCTCCCAGGTACTTGGCGAACGGCCACCCTTCATCTGATGGAAAGCTCTGGGAGGGGGGGGGGGGGGGGGGGGAACACAACAAATGTCAAATAAATAAATAAATAGATAGATATAAGATGTCAGGCTGTGTGATGTACAGTTGGCTGGAAAGAAAAACAGAAATACCCCATTGGCTTTTAAAAGCAAAAGGCTAACACATAAATTGAGAGAACCTTCACACTGTCAAAAAAAATTTGTTTAACTTACACAGAAACCAGCCTCTAAATAAAGAGAGACAAAAGGAAAGAAAACAAATCCCCACACATCAAAACACAAGGTTCCTGTGTGCTGCCTTGGGTAATTTTTTGATACACAATTCTAAGCACAATAGTTGAAAATCTGCCAAAGGATCACGAGAAACGGAGCCCGCGCCGGGTATAACGGATTCAATTTAATAAAAGAAAAAAAAAAAAAGGAGCCAGTTTGTGTTGAAGCCCCACAGCTATGAGCTGACGCACGCTGCAGTGCTTCCAGAGAACTGATAGGTGATTTGTGGCAGCAGTTAGCAGGAAAGCCTTATGTGTTGTGATGCAGCAGCGGGGCGATTTGAACTGCTGCATGATGTTGGCTAACCGCGTTGATGCAGTTTGGGCATGCTGACAAGAGTGCTGTGTATTACAAGGTTAAAACTGATTCATAATAAAGGTAATACCGCTGGCAGGAAGTGGTATTCCTGCTTGTGCTATTACCTTGTTATTATTAATCAGTTTACTCATAATAATAATAATAATAATAATAATAACGGTAGCAGGAAGTGGTATCACTGCTGCTGCACAAAACCCAAATCTCTCTCAGATTTACTCCAAACAAAAACAGGCACCATCATCTGCAAATCACTCAAAGTCGAGCGGTACCGTCTGCACAGGCAAACACACACACACACACCTTAAATGAGCTGGGTGTGAAGCAGCTGCATCTGGGAGATGTGCTCGGCTGCTAAGGGACTAGATTCTGTATGTTTACTGCTTCCATCTCTCTTTATGAGCTCAGGTGTCTCACACTTTCCATACATCACTTTCTTTTCTCCTGGTCCATTTTATTGCCAGACGGGGGGAATGAAATCCCCCCTTTTTTTTTGCAGGCCACACTGGTTATGCTACAAGCGAGAAGATCCCATCTTTTACAATAAACCCCCAGCCATAGGCTGGCTTAATGATAGCCCACAATGCCTATGTAACAAATCTCTCCTAGGCTGCCGTTTCTTGCAGGCAGCCGGCAACACAGACGCAGACGGAATCACGAGTGCTCACATTTCACAGGAGCCTCAGTAAAGCCTCCCTCTCTGAAACCCGATAGCATCGCAGATATGGCAGGGAACACACCGCGGCCCTGTAGGTGAGGTGTGAACTACTAGGACTGCTTCGTCTCACTTTACGCTTGTGGTAATTCAATACTTCACCAGCTTTCAATTTATGTCGAGATGGAGGGAGGGGGGGTTAAAATATGCATGGCTGCCCTAACTCCCTTTAAATTTTAATGAAATACAAATTATTTAAAAACATACACTTTAACCCCCTGCTGGCCACGCAGCTGCTGCATCTCAAAGACAACAGCTGGACCTCTGCCACAGAGAGTGTGGCTCGTTGAACGAATGCAGCTATGCAGCGATTGGAAGGTTCACTCCTGCAGCATTGGCTAGTGTTGAAGGCATTGTGTGTGCTGCTCTTCACCTCTTTTATTACATCCCTCGACTAGGCTGTAATTTGCTGAGCGTATTGAAGGCCGAAGCTACAGATCCCACCTGCGCTATCGAACAGGCTGAATACAATGAAGGCTAAAGGATGCCCTGTGAGGGGAGGGGTGGGGGGGGGCTTTGACTGGAAAAAAACAACTTTGCAATAATCTTGAAGATTCAAGCTCTCGATGCAAAAATGACTCAACCTTTTTACACCAAAAGCAGAGAGGCAGACCTTTACAGCGTGTAAATGTAGATCTACAGCACGGGCGTATCTGCTGTTCCCCTCAGTCTTAAGAGAGATCCACAACCACCACCACGGGGGGAGGACAATGATAAGTTGCAAACAATGCGGTCTTGGTTGAGCCCAATCAATTGTGGGCCAGACAAAAAGTCTGTCGAGGAAGCAGTACTGGCTTCCAGCAGCCTGTCCGTCCGTCTGTCTGCGCCTGTCATCCTTAGACTTGGCAATGACTCATTCCAACTTCCCCCAAAAACACCTCACTTAATAGCATACCTCATTTTCTGATATAGCAAACTTGACAGGAAGGAGAATCTGAGGAAGAAGACATGTCTCACAAAGTGAGAAAAATCCAGCAGATACGAAGAAACAAAGTATAATAGTGACTGCACCCCCCAAACACGGAGTGCTGGCAGGAAAGGAGACAATCCCAAACTACTGACATGTCGCAAGGCAACGGGCATTCCTACATGACAGATTTTAGGATTACAGAATTAACAGGCTAAATATCTAAAATGGCTTTCTAATTTCTGAGGTTGGTATATAAAGATTACGTTGAAGCTGGATCAGTTGGTAGTACATCCCTATTAGTCCCGCTTCCCTTTGACCCAGATTCAAACCTCAGATCGCTTTATGTTGCTGCAGAATCTAAGCGGCTCTCGGTCTTGTTGACAAAACTTAGCCTGTCCGATGTTACGGCTAAACCTGCTTTGTAAGACACCATCCATCCTCCCTCTATCTCTCTCTCTCTTTCACCCCTGCAGGGCGGACGGATAAATGTGGGGAAGGGGAGGCGGTGGTGGGGGAGACGGAGAGAAAGAGAGGCGGAGGGAGAGAACGCGATGGAGACGGCAAACAGGAGAGACAAACAAGAGTGTCTTTCACTCCTCTGCTCCAGTGGACAGGAGGAATAAACCAGCAAAGACCTGCCTGCTAAACACATCTCTCTCTTTGTTGTCAGGTTGCAGCCTGAATGGGAGCAAAAGTAGAGTGACGGCAGATGGGAGGGGGGGGGGGGGG